AGGCCATTCCAGGCTTCTCTCTTGAGTGGATAATGTCATATTCCTGCTTTATACACAAAGAGAGGTTTGATTATTTTCTGCCTAACCTTTCACAGCCATTCCAAATCTGTTCAAATATCATTATACTTTTTCAAGATTGATGTTAAACTTCTGCAAGATCTAATTTTTATAATTTTCTTTTTTGAGAGAGAGACTGCACATGCATGCAAGTGGGGGGTGGGGCTCAAAGGGTTAGAAAGAGAGAGAGAGAATCTTCAGCAGACCTCACACTCTGCATGGGGCACAACATGGGGCTCAATCTCAAGACCTTGAGATCATAACTTGAGCCGAAGTGAAAAGTCAGGCACTTAACCAACTGAGCCTCCCAGGCGCCCCTAATATTTTAGAATTCTTTATGTAAAGGAATAAAAGTAGCCAAAGATCCTTCTCCAAGGTCCTAATTTCATCTGGACAATTGACTTCCTGTGGAGCATTGAGAAAGTGTTTTAATCTTTCCAGGCCAAAGCCATGGCTTTCTTGTTGGTAAAATGGAACTAAATATCTTCCTATACTTTCCTCATAAATTGCTTGAAATTAAAAAAAAAAAAAAAAGCACTGGGAAGTTTTGAAACATTTTATTATTTTTTTACTCCAAAGATAAAAAGGGATCATCCCTCCATTGAGAGAAAGACAAGAAATCTACAGGATTAAGTCATTTTAGATGCTTAAATGTACAGCATTCTTAAAAAGGAACCTCAAAACTTCAGCCCTGGATAACCTCTCACAATTGAGCCACTGTTTTAATACATTCTTATAATGCCAAGGTTTTAGAAAAGAGGGTAAAAATACCTTCTTTGGGCAATTTGTGTGCAAATGAAACAGCCTATTAAAGATTGCCTCAATGAGAATGTGTAAACACTGGTCTTGGCCACAAAGAAACAATTTCCTGGGGCAAACTTCATGGTCTGATTTCCCAGAAATACCCTGGAAAATGAACAGAAGGAAACGCCTTATACTGCTTTGTCTGTAGCCACAAAATATACACACAGGGTCCCACCCAGCCAAAATTTAACCCTGTACCCCCCAAAAAGAATAAAAATAATAACAGAATCACATAATGAGACCATTGTACATGTAAAAATAGTATCTACACAACCTAACATGAAGGTCAATATAATTATGGTCTAAGAAACTAAGCTCCTTCAGAGTGAAAATGTGAACAGGTGCCCTATGATAATATTTTCTAGGCAAGAACCATTCAAGGATACTTCCTCTCCCATCAGCTGTACTTACTTTAAATCCATCAGAGGGAGAAATAATAAGATAGTACATGCTAATTTATTTAATTTAGAATGGACCTATGTGAACATTTGCAAGAATCTGTTTATCAAATATTATTTTTTTAAAAAACTGTAATTTTTGTAATTGTCAATCTAATAGAAGATGGTTTAGAACAAATCACTCAAATAGGGAATAGTCTTTTCCTGTATGGTTAACAATATCTCCATGACCATCTTATGTCTAAAATCAGGCTATCAATGTCTTTCTATTCTACTCCCATCCCTTCAAGCCAGGTTACTGCCAAGATTAGCCACTTCTCTTAGTAGATTTGAAACTACAGACTGAACATAGACCTCTCTCTCTTTATTCTCAATTGATCAACATCCCTTTTAAATAGTTTAGAAATGCCTCTCCCTTTCTTCTGCCATAATCATGGTTCCAGCCTTTGTAATCTTTCTCTGATTGCTTCCAACCTTGCCTTTTGACCACTAGTACACAACACTGGTTGCATTTTAGAATTATCTCAAAATATTTAAAAAATACCCATGTCTTTTACACAAGTATCTCTAGAGGGTAAGATCTTGTTGCTTGCCTTCTTCACTGAGAATAAAAAGAACTTTTAGTGTAGAGATAAATGAAATTTATCTTTTTATTTTTTTAATGGGAATACTTTATAGTAATATTTATGTTTATATTCTCAGAAGATACACAAGTATTTCTGATCCCTGAGTAAATGCCTGTGCCATTTATTCTGTACAAGAAATTTTTCCTCACCCCAAATTACCCACAGGTTACAGATTGCTATAATTGAGTTAGGAATAGTTACTGTTATTATATGATGTAATTGAAAGAGCATAGGACTAGGGGTTTTGAAATTTTTCTTTTTTACAAATAGTTTGTTGTCAAGTTGGTTTCCATACAACATCCAGTGCTCATCCCCACAAGTGCCCTCCTCCATGCCCATCTCCCCCCTCCCCCCCCACACCCATCAGTTCTCAGTTTGTTCTCGGCATTCAAGAGTCTCTCATGGTTTGCCTCTCTCCCTCTCCCCTACTATTTCCCCCCTTCTTCTTCTGATTCTTGGTTAACTAATTTATTCTGCTAAGCATACATTTCTTTTTTAAAAAATGGGAATAATGGCACCTGGGTGGCTCAGTGGGTTAAGCGTCTGACTGCACCTCAGGTCATGATTTCACAGTCCATGAGTTCAAGCCCCACATTGGACTCTGTGCTGACAGCTCAGAGCCTGGAGCCTGCTTCAGATTCTGTGTCTCCCTCTCTCTCTGACCCTCCCCTGCTCACGCTTTCTCTCTCCCTCTCAAAAATAAAAATAAAAACATGTTTAAAAATTATAAAAATTGGGAATAGTAATAGTGTCCCTATATACCTCAAAGAATTATTGTCAAGAGTAAATGAGATGTATATGAAAAAGTATGAACAGCTACAAATCCCAAATGCTCTCCTCTTCAATATATGCATTTGCTTTCTTTTGAAAAAAATTTTTAATGTTTATTTATTCTTGAGAGAGAGATAGAGTATGAGCAGGGAAGGGGCAGAGGGAGAGAGGGACACAGAATCTGAAGCAGGCTCCAGGCTCTGAGCTATCAGCACAGAGACTGATGCAGGGCTTGAACTTACCAGCCATGAGATCATGACCTGAGCCAAAGTAGGATCCTTAACTAACTGAGCCACCCAGGCACCCCTCTTTCTAACTATAAACGCTTAGTTTCTTATAAGTAAATATTGCAAGTTAAGCAATATTCTTTAAATAAAAGAAAGAAAATGTATTTTTCAAAAGAGTATTGTCTCTGTTATCACTTATACTTACTGTATACTAGGCAGCCCTCTATTTAAAGAAACTATAAGTCAGAGTATGTGGAACCCTCTTAGGCTGCCAGCACTTTCTCCTTCATCTGTAATCACTCCCTACTGTCCTTGGCAAGCCTTCCATAAATGTGCAAATAATTCCCATTTCCTAATTTCAAAGACAAGAAAAAGCAGGCCAACCAACAGGTAAATTGCCAGCCATGTCTTGCTTCTACATTGGTTCTTCAGGCCTGGTTATCCTCTAAACTCCCTTGCAGAGTAGGCTGGGAAGTGGGGGGTGCATAGATACAGGAGAAACTGCTGCTGAGGGTGAGGGTACTCACATCTGCCAAGAGTACATCCTCATGTGTTGGCTTGTGAGAAACAAGAGTGTGTCTAAATATAAATTCATATGATCGAATTGCATGAGTGCAAAGGGAAGACAGAGAGCCAAGACTAGTTTCAGTCCAAAGCCACACCATAGACACTCAGACAGATTTAAATCTGCCTTGGATCCTAGGTCTCACCTTGAAGATTAATGTAGACTACCACATGATTCAGGGGCCATAAGAATAGTTCAAAGGACCCAAAGGGATTTCTAATATCCAAATATACCAGATATATCTAGTTAAGTTCAAATCCCACAAGATCTTAGCCAAAAAAGCAAACAACTATAAACCCTTTTTATAAAACAGTATCCACCTGTATCAAACCTCTTTATCCTAAATATGTAGAAACATGGGCAAGTTTTAACAATAATCCAATATATGATTCTGAATACAAATTTAGAAGATTCTTCAATTAAACTATTTAAATGTAATATTCATTCATTTCTTATCCAGATGATTATTTATTGAGAAATTATTTGATTATGTTGAAGGTATTGCACTAAATTTTCACTTGGCAAAATTCATATTTTTTATCAAAGAGATTATAATATAGTATTACTTCTCTATCATTTGGAGTTGTTGAATCTTCTGAAAATCTGATTAAAGACACAGCTGCTTTTACCATAAATCCACAAATACATGTAAAATCTACATCAGTTTTAAGGGCTGAAGTTTATCCAATGATTATTAGGAGCACTTAACACTCAAGAAAAAATAAGAATGAAGGTAATACAAAGTAGCATAATATTAAAGCAATAAGATCTACTATAAGAGCTTAGACCAAGGAGCATTTAGGTGTAAAATGCTCAGGTAAGGATTCGTGATAGACACTTAGAGGTTTGACCTTGAAGGATGTTGGACTTTGCCAAACAGAAGTGGGGATGGGGAGACAACATTCAAGACAACAGGAATGACATAAATGTATGAATCACATAAATGTATGAATGTTAGGCATGTCCAGACAAGAAAAAAATTTAAAGTCCCACTAGAAAGTTTGGATTTAATATTATAAGTAATACCAAGTCATTAATGTTTTTTAAGCAAGGGAGGGAGATGATCAGAATGATGCATTAGAAAAATTATCCTACTGATGATAAAGTGTACATTGATGTGGATAAAGATTGAAGATAGAGAGAAGGTTATTGCAATGGTATAAGCAAGAAGTAATGAGTCAGGGACAGTACGGCTCATATAACAATGAGACTCTTCAGAGATACAGCCAAGCAAAATTGGCCTTTCATTAAAATGTAGAGGGTGTAGGAAGACAAGGGATCAGAGGTGATTACAAAGGTATCTCTTTTAAAATATTAGGAAATACAGGAAATGAAGCACATTTTGAGTTAAAGATCTTTTTAATTAGGACAGATTGAGTCTAAGGTATTAATTATTCCTGAAAATAAAATTTTACCCATGATCTATATCCATCAGAACACTAATAGTATTAATAACTACAATATTAAAAGAAAACAGACTAAACAAAATCTTGAGATTCTGTAAGGAAATTGAACAATCCTTCAAGAGAATTTTCAACCTTTATTCAAACAGGTAGGAATTCAGCGATTAGTTTACAACTCATACCACATTTCCAAGTCCCAGCCTCTTTAATTTTGGACTTTGCAACATAAAGAAACTAATCTACAGTGTGTGAAAACAGAAAGTGTGCCAATATTCAGCAAATAGCAGAAGTAAACAATGTTGCCAACCTCATCAAAACCATTGATTTCTTCCGAAGAGACAGAATCTCACCAAATGAGTTGGGCAGCAGTTACGTGACAACAGCAGACAGCAGAACTTTGATCAGAAACCAGCTTCCTGCCTCAGACTCAGCCCTCTCATAATAATAGATTAAGACCTAAATGGGACCCAAGAGACCATCTAATGCAACCTTTCTTGAGTAAACAAAAACAAACAAACAAACAAAAAACTAATGCTCACAGATATTAAGGAAGTTACTCTGGTAATAAACAACAGAACTGGAACTAGAACTTTTGTCTCCTGACTCCCATTTCAGATGTGCTTTCCTCAGCCCCATATTTTCAAATGTTTCTTTGAATCATGAATTAACCCAGTGGACTTGGAGTTAACCTACATCCCACAGAGCCGGCCTCAGGAGAATATTGAGCTGTCATACTGATGGATTATTGGGGTTGCTTCCAAAGCTGTTTGGACAGAACCTCTCATGCATCTGGCTGAGCTGAGAGATGAGTGGCTACATACATATGTCCTTACTGAGGTAAAGTTAGAAAGGGGAAGTGGCTTCTTCATAGGTGCCCTCCCCTCTCCTTTTCTCCATTTCTTTCCCAACAGTGGCTGCTAAGAGATATGATATCAAAGGATTCCATGTCCTCTGCCCTCCAGCCTGCCCTTCTCTCACACTGAGCCTCATGCCGCCAAATTATCTATCCATATTTTTTCCTTCAGAGATTAATAGTACTTTAAAATTGCTACTCTAAGGAGTAGAGAAGCAATGTAATGAAAATTGTGTTTGAGCTTTAGAGTTCAGGAAGGACCCCTTCACTACACTGTTACAGAAACAGAAACCAAATGCATTATCAATAACGGGTAGAAAATCAGACTCTGGGAGCAGCACCCAAGAATCTGTTCAACAAACCCTATAGGGGATTCTAATGCTCATCAAGATGAGAAAACCTCTAATATAATATTATGCAAATTTTTTCCCTAATATAGCATTTTGGATGTCCATTTCAATAGCTGATCTAAAACTCTTAAATAGGAAAAAGGCAACACAAACTGCTGGAGATTGAATGTGACAAAGCAAATACTGGAACTAAAAGATTTTAAAGATTTCATCTTAGCGTCCTGTTTCTCATGCAGAAGAATGCCTCATGCATTGCATTGCACATTCATGGAAAGAAAGATTGAATATATTTGTTTATTTTTCCCATCTTTTTTCTTTATATTGTAAAATTCCAAGTTTATACATATATATACAAATTTCAACTTAATTCCTAAAGGAGAAAGAAGAGACTAAATGTAGACAAAATTTGATAACCAGTTTACCCTCCATATGCTAAATCCTTAATGTGTTCTCTGCTTAGGAGCCAAATAAGGATTTATTGTCCAAAAATATTCAACTCACTTGACACTTTACATTAAGAAAAAACAGCAGGCTTCTCATTCGGTGAGACTCTGCTCCATGGCTACTTATAAATGGAGTAGAATAACAAATCATTAGGACATGTTTGAGATGGGGGGGGAGGTATGAATAACTACAGTTAGTATATTTCATGTGTCAGTCTACTATCTCAGCATTTATAGAGCCCACAGGAGGAATTTTTTTTTTTTGATATTTCTTTCCAGTTAAAACGAGCTGGTAAAATTTATAGCTTTTCTGGTTCATAGAAAACTATGGCCTTTGTAAAGGAAGGGTGTTGGGCTTTAAGTAAGTAAAGAGTAAATGATATTACCAAGAAATACTACTTTTCAACTTATACTGACTCTATATCACAGTCTAATTTCAATGTTTCTCCAGAAACTTCTAAAATAGAAAAAAGAAGTCATACTAGAAAATTATATTAGTCTTACAGAATGAATATCTCAATAGAAGAAGAGTTTTATCTGTTAGATGCAGCTGCGTTAAGATGAGGTCAAGTTGTACCTGAACACAAATGTTCCTTAACAAAAACTGTACTTACTAAGATAAAGCTTACTCAGCAAGAGCTGTTATATCTTATTCTATATCAACACTGAATATTATCTATTATATGGAATGTTTTTTCCATACAACAGACCCTGGGAAAATAGAAAATAAAGCTAATTTCCGGAAACCATAGAAAAAATTTCAGGATACTTACTGTGATGGTATGAAGATTCTTACAGCATGAGAGGATTCTGGCAATGCTCGGTCTTAACCTAACTGGTTACTTCGTAAAAATCAGTGAACTATATTTTTGGTAGACTTTCTGTATACATTTGTTACATTTCACAATAAAAAAAAAGTTAAAAAAAGAGAACATAACTCAACCATTGATTAATCTCTGCTGCCTCCTGAGAATACATTAAAATTACATTGAAAGGATTTTTAAGTTCCAAACCCAAAGAGCAAAAAGAACATAAGGGGGTAATAGTGAAAAATGTGGAAGGTGGAAAGTACATGGACTTACACTAACTGACTTAAAAGACAAGAGAAAACCAAATTCCTGCAGAGAAATAAGACCCAAGCCTTGAGAAACCATGAAAAGTCTCAAGAGCTGGGTGTAATAAGTACCCCTGAAGTTCAGATACTGGTGGAACTAAAAATAGAAGGTTTGATTGTCAATCTATATAAGAAGCAGTTGAATACCTAAATGTCCTCCATCACCCCAGCAAAAGACTAAAAACATTGGAACTTAGAAACTTTGGACTAGGAGTGATCGGGCACAGCTGAAGGCAGAGATGCCATATGATTGAAATTCTATATACTAAATAGGGAGACCCTTGAACTCCATGCCACCACCCCAGTCATTGCATCCTGACTCTTGGGGTGCTGGCAAGTGACCCTTATAACCACTAAGCAAGAAGATAAAGGATTTCTACATGGGAAAAGTGAACATAGATCCACATACTCTAAGTTCAGTATGATCAATGAAGCAACCCACTCCCCACCCAAATAACCTACAGAGAAGCGTGTCAATCAGCTTACACACACACACACACACACACACAGATTTCAGTGAACTTTTAAATCTTTTTTTTAACTATGAACAGGCAAAACTTTACCAGCTATCTAAAGAGTAATCTTTGACATGAATGATAGTGACAAAAATAAAACTAAAACAGTCAATACAGAAAGCAAAATAAAACTTTTAAATACTGAAATTAATATCCTCAGAGAGATAAGAGACAATACTAAATGTATCATACAAAATTATAATGTAGTGAAAAAGAAACATTGAAAAAGAAACAATCTCCAGAAAATTTTAAATGATTATTGCAGAAATTAAATATAAATTTTAGGTCTAAAAAGTTCTAAGTAACTGAGATCAATGACAAACTTTCTGACACTAAGTATAAACAGAGAATCCTAAAAGGTTTCAAAGAGATAAATAGATTACATACAAAAGAATGAGAATAAATAATGTCAGTCTTCTTAATAGCAATACATACAGAGAGGAAATTCAAATTCCTGACCTGAAATTTAAGGATAATTAGTGACAGATACAAAGAAAACTATGGGAACCAAAAAGGAGGAAAGGAAAGGTCCAAGAGAAAGGGAAAAAATTACACAAGAGAACCTGGGCTTCCAAGCAAGATGAATTAACAGGGCCTGAACTTATTCTGTCATCTGAAACAAACAAACAAAAGACAATATACATGAAACAATGGTTTTCAAGAACTAGACAGTAGTCAACAAAAGACAGTGATCTGTGAGAGAATGTTCTATCCAATAGCATAACACATATTCTTTTCAGGTGCACACAAAACACACCATACCATAAGCTATGAAAGAAAAAGGCTCAACAAACAAAAGATAAATACTCTATGGTATTACTTATATGCAGAATCTAGAAAAGTCATACTTACAGAAACTGAGATTAGAAAGGTGGTTACCAGGAGCTTGGGAGTGGGGTGAAAGGAAAGATTTTGGTCAAAGGGTATAAACTCCAGTTTTAAGATGAACAAATCCTGGGAATCTACAGCATGGTGATTATAGTTAACAATACCGTAATATATACTTGAAAGTTGCTAAGAGACCATATCTTAAATGTCTTTACCACACACACACAAAATTATAATTATATGACATAATGCAGGTGTTATCTAACATTAGGGTGGTAATCATTTTGCAATATATAAGCATATCAAATCAACACATTGTACACCTTAAACTTAGTGTTAATATGTCAGCTGTATCTCAATAAACTAGGGTGGGGCAGTCTCAGTGGCAAATATGCACTGCCAACTTCATACAAAATAAAGAAATTGCAAATTAAAACAACGAGATATCATTACAAACTTATTAGAATGGATAAAATCCAAAACACTGACAACACATTGTACTAGTGAGAATATGGAACAACAGGAGTGCTCACTCATTTGCTGGTGGGAACTGATGTACAGATTTTTAAAATCCAATGAAAAATCTCAGCAGGGTTTTTCTAGAAAATGGCAAGCTGATCCTAAAATTTATTGTAAATGCAAAGGATAGCCAAACAATTTTGAAAAAGAATAAACTTTAAGGTTTAATACTTCCTGACTTCAAGACTCATGATACAAATACAGTAAAAGGTTGTAGAGAAGCTACTTAGACCCCCAGATCTTTCAGAAGAATAAGACCAGACCCTCAGGAACAGTAGGGTGACTAGGGCTTGAGCAGTGACTGCCTACCTTTCTCTCCTTCCCCCTGGAGTACCTTCCCCCACCCCAGGGTTGGGTTGCATCTAATAGGCTTTACATACTGCCAAGCGTAGCCAACAAGGACATGAACCTGGAATTGTTCAGCAAACCTCTAGTGAACATCCGGGTGCAGCTGAAGGATTACACACCTAAAATCCCAGATACAGTGACTGACTACTCCCTGAACTAAGCTGGCTTTGGAGCCTCAAATCCATCATCTCTCTAAATGCCCAGAATTTCATCTCAGATATTGCCAGTGATGTCCTGCAGTATTGCAAAATGAAGAGCACAGTCTCTGGCCAAGAAAGGACCACAAGTACATGCTAACCATGGAGGACATGACCTCTGCCCTCAGCAAATATGTCATCAATTTAAAGATGCCACAATTTCACCTGAGCCATTCCATGTAAATGTATTTGTCTTCCATGTCTCCACACTAGTGTTTTTTCATAAACTTCACCATGACAAGCTAAAAAGAAAAAAAAAAAAACTACAGAAAAGACAATGTGATATTATGGGGCACCTAAGTGGCTCAATCAGTTCAACGTCCAACTCTTGGTTTCAGCTCAGGTCATAACCTCACAGTTCATG